AGTTTTATAGCAAATATTTCAACCTATAATATGCGGCAAATCACGTTTCTGAGACCCCAATTTTCAGATATTTTCCAAGGGGCAAGGGCGTATGTCACTGGACTTGCATGGCTCGTTGGGCAGACATTCGTCTGAATGCCCGAATAAACAAATCATATTCAACTAGACCCTAATATAACCCCACCTGCACACTTTGGGATATTTCCCCGGACGGACAAATGGCCCCCTTGGTTGGTTTACTGACTACATTAAAGATTGCACCGAGTATTTTGTAATAGGATGTAATTTGGTATACAATATATCAACGGTAGAACCTGTAAATACAATTAATTTATATCACTGTTTTCACTCTCCATAGGTACTCATATTAACGTATTTTCAACGTATTTTCAATCTCTCACTTTTTCATACTCTGTCATATTAACGTATTTTCAACGTTAGTTTAGGCTATTATGGTAATTTCCCCCTTTTTTTCTTTTGGCTAAACATTCAGCTTCCGTCCTAGCTTCATTTTAATATTTTTACAAACTGCTCTTTCGTCAGAAGAAAGGCGGCAGTTACGTAAAACGAAATGATAATTATATATGACATTATCTAACATTTAGGTTATTTCTGGGCAGTACTGAATTTTTAATCGGTTACTTGATATGTGTAATGAAAAGCATTTATGTTTTATTTTGAATTTAGTAATATTAAACGTTACATTTAGGTGGCATAGTGATTCCTACAAGACCTGTATATTAAGCGGTCAGTTTCGACTGTACCTGTAAAAGCGAGTTTATCACAAGGACAGTTGATGAATGAGATTCTCAGCCAAGCGAATTACTTCCACAAGACCAGATTCCTTGGCGAGATTCTGAGCTCTCTTTGCGAACTGAATTGCTGCGTTGACGAACTTTTGTCGTCCTTCAGTTTGGAGTTGCGAGTATCTAATGTAAAGAAATGATTGTACCAATTCCAACCAAATCTTTCTGTATGCGGTTGGTGGATTTCCGTCACAAACTGATTGATTTACTGTCATTATACTTGTTTTGGCTTTTTTAAGATCTTCTTTATCAATGACTTTTTTGATCATCTTTCCTGACAAATTATATCCCAGATGATATGCTGCTAAAGTGATGTGCGCATTATGATACAGGTCTGCCCGTGCCACTGGAGCATCTTCAACATACTCCAGGTGTTCCAGTGCCTTGGTACAAAGTACGTCTGGCGATAATCTTGAGTCGTTTTGACTATCATCATAAATTGACGCAGCGACTAAATAGAGAGCAGCAGTACACAGTCCAGGTTCTATGAGTTCTGCGATTGTTAAAGCGTTAGTTGCGATAACTTGATTTTCAGCTGATTTCCCAGAAACACGCGCTATTTCTGCTTCCATGAACTGTAAAAGCGCAACCATGGGTTGCTCTGCTTGGGAAAAACATTCTTGGTATTCGGTGTGCAAATTATACGCTTGGTGAATATTTCCTCGTCGACAATTTGCCATGGCCTTCCTCGACAACACTACTAAGTTGACTTCAGGATTGCCAGCCTGAGGATATTCCTGTTTAATTTTCTCGGCTATTGCCGGGAAAATATCCCACCTCTCGTTATTAATTGCCACAGTTAAAACTTCATAAACCCAAAGGCAACGTTTCTTTACCAAAGGACTTAATGAAAAACGTTTCATTGCGGAAGGAACTTCTATTTTTCTCTTGTTCAGACCAACAGGCTGTAGTTTCCCTTTCCAAGTTGTGAACGACATTCTTTCAACTTTTCCCTCCACCATTTCATAGCTTTCTGGTTCCTCTGCGAACACTCCACCACAACAAGGAGCGATAAAGATCACGATCACAAACGTTGATGGGATATGGTTGGACTTCTCGTCCAGCACTGGTTCAAAGAAAATCTCCCAGTGTTCTCCTCGTTTTGGTTGACCAATCCCGTCAGGCCAGATCATTTTCTGGATGGCTTTTTTGACTTTCTTCTTAATTTCAGAAATGTTTTCTGTGTTCTCTCCCTTGACAACGCCATCATCATCAATACCATAGTAAATGTGACCACCCCTGTGGTTAGCGAACGCTGATACGTAACAACTGAATTTGTTACTTTTACCAATCATACGATCTGCGAGTGTGACGTGCTTTGATGAATCTGATTTCAGGAGTTTGAATTGAATGACCTCATTTTCTCTGAGACAAGAATTTTGTTTTGTGAGAAACGTTTTTTGGTGTGAGCCAAGTTGGACGGGTTGATCAACAAATCTTCTGTTCATTATTTCTAACGCGTTCTGGACATTGACAATGATCCCAACTTGTTTTTCAGTAGGTCGGTAAAGATTGTATTTGATTGTGATGAGAAAGCGAGATTTACTGACTCTAATTTTGATCATTTTCTCATTTTTGTCTTCGAAATTTACATTAATCGATTCGGTTATCTGAGCTCCAAACCTGGATGTCAATGACTGTTCTAGCCTTCGTGTCCATGAGTCGAGTATCGTGGTGGAGTCCAAATTTCCTTTTGTGTCTTCGCCGCGTATTTGTACTGTTCCGCCATTGCTGTTCAACAAGGCACAAATTGCTTCAGCGATTATTAACTTCCGCTCTTCGCATTTTCTTTTTGAAATTTCATCTACTAAGAATCTGATTGAAATAATGTCACCGGCATGAAGATTCGTTGGTGTTGCCATCGCCATCGCCATTTTGTCAGCCAAACTCTTAGAACACGTTTTACAGTTGTGATCTACGCTCTGAATCTACGAGTAATAATGTAAATGTGGCTATTTTTTTATCGAATGTTTGTGTTACCACCCACTGGTAATGCTTTTTAAAGCGGCAGGAAATCTAAATAACACAAAACAAAAGCGTAACTTATAGAATATTTATCTTACTATGGCAAAATTGCGTTAAGATTTTCATTGCCCATGTTTTGAACCTTGTACATCTTGTTTTTAATAGTTCTTATACTATGTCCAACTTTAGATACCCGTTGTTACCGTATCTTTCGCCTTAGTGGTTAAGTAAGTACGGCGTTAATGTCGCAATACATCAGTTTAGGTATGCTAGCATGGTAATGTATATATGTATACAATATTGTTGCTAAAGGCAAAGGTGCCTGCCGGTTGGGAACTGTATTCATATTTTAAACATGAGAACTGAAAGACTTGCTTTACGAGAAGCTATTCGGCGAACAATAGGATAATTTTTTTGCAAAGTAATGTTTCGACTGAGACAATGTAAATAAAAAGTATCGTATGCAAAATAGTTGTATTTGAAGTACGTTTTCCGGCAATGCCGAATGCTACATGTTGTTTCATCCACCAGCTCGGAAGATCTCTTGAGTTAATATAAGACGCTACTATCCTATATTTTTTATTTTTTTAAACCGGAATTGTTTATAAGATTTGTCTTATACATGCATTGTCAAAATACATAGACACTTAAACGTTTGCTTAATAAACTTAAATTATTAAACAAAAACCAGCTAAATATCAGGGTGAGTACTTACCAAACGACGTACACTTTTTCAAGGAAATCTTTGCCATGTGTAAGGCCAGTAAGGGCGTGTGTATCTGGAGCAAAAGCGTATGAACTTATTATAGCATGTTCCTAATTTTTAGGGGTTTTCCCGATTATATATGGGATTCTCCCCGGATTCTCCCATAAAAAATGTAGGAAAATAACTGACTCATGCGGATCCAAATGTGTCTTGAAATGAGATATTTCTTTAGCAAAAGAAGTGGGGTATCAAAGATGAACTGGTCAATATATTCAGCGATGGAAAAAGGGGCCGTTGGCAAAAAGCAAGAAAAGCTTATTATCATTTAAAGACCCGGAATGAGGGGGATTCCGCGAAATATATTCCGAAGTAATAATAGCCCAGGAAAATATCATAACTTCAGGAAATATTTTGCCGAATCCCCTCTAAGAAAAGATTTCTTAAGCTGAAAGTGAAATATTTAATATGTTGTTTGGTCATTTCGTGAACTGAGGAATTATAAGACCAACCTCGTTCCCAGGGCCTTTTACCTTGATTCTGGATTTGGGTAAAAGACCTTGGGATCGGCCAGCGGCTCTGGCTTCTAAGTGATTAAATTATTTGTGCTTATAAAATTAGCGAAATATTTTTTAATTATTTCGAGCCGAGCAAATAAATAGGGGTGCGATCAAAGGGTGCGGTAAATGGCAGAAAAGTCTTGGCCTTTAAGAAACGTTTTGTGGTGTGAGTCAAGTTGGATGGGTTGATCAACAAATCTTCTGTTCAATATTTTTAACGCATTTGGAACATTGCCAATAAGCTCAACTTGTTTTTGAGTAGGTAGATAAAGATTGTATTTAATTGTGACAAGGAAGCCAGCATTACTGACACAAATTCTTATCACTTTCTCTTTTTTCTCCTCAAAAATGTCAGCCGACTCGATTATATCAGCTCCCAAACCTGGATTGCGATGACTGTTCAAGCGTTCGAATCAAGGAGTCGAGTATCGTGGTGGAAACCAAGTCACCTTCCGTTTCTTCACCACGTATTTTCATTTTTCCGCTATTGCTGCTATTCAACAAGGCACAGATTGTATTTTAAAATAATTTCGTTCTTATATATACATGAAGAATTTGCATGTATTTGTTTCGTTTATAAAACAAAAACCAGTTATATATTAGCATGAGTACTTACCACACACGATGTACACTTTCGTTGAGAGAATCTTTTTCATGTAAAGGCGTATCTGAGAACAAGCGTGTAGAATCGGGATACTTGATTAGATTTATTTGTATTAGATTAAAGTCACGTGACAACTTATCACGAGGCTGTCGTTTGAAGTGTGTTCTTTCGTTTTGTATCGTTTGTGTATTTTGTATTAAAGCGATTGTAGAAAAACTAAAGATTTGTGTGAGTTATTACATATCAGCGAAGGGGACATTACATTGGCGACGAGGATGGAAGTTCGTCTAACATTATCATTATAGCCGTGAATTTGACAAGATTACCAATCGGGAGTGTAGTATTTAGCGAAAATATTTGAAATGTCTGTCGCGGACGAAGATGGCGCAGGACAAAACGGCAATCCGGCAGGCGCTCAAGCAAGTTTATTGACAAGCGACGTCAAAGGGCTTCCTTGCTTTAACCCCAGGGAAGACCCAACGAATTTGGCTGTGAGATGGAAGCGCTGGAAGCGGTCATTTAATGTGTTTTTAACGGCAAAGGGAGTAATAAATGACAAACAGAAAGTGGCATTACTTCTGCATACGGGGGGGTTGCAGTTGCAAGAACTATATTTTACGTTAGTAAACGAAGACGAAGAGAAAGAGTTTAAGGATTGCGTCAAGGTCTTGGATGAGTATTTCGTCCCTAAAGTGAATCTACCGTTTGAGAGACACCAGTTTCGTCAAATGAGTCAGATGAACGGCGAGAAAGTGGATCATTTTGTTTCGCGTCTTAGGCAAAAAGCTACTACGTGCGAATTTCAGAACGTGGAAGAAGCAATTCGAGACCAACTAATTGAGAAATGTGGCGACTCAAAGCTTAGACGGAAGTTTCTTGAACGCGTTAATGCAACACTCAAGGATTTACAAGATATTGCGCGGGCATATGAGGCGGTAGAAGAGCAGTTGAAATCAATGGAAGGTTCGAATACAGTAAACGTTGTGAGTCATAAATCGCGTTGGAGCGGACGAAAAGAGAAAAAGGTCAACACAGATCAGAAAGAGCGCAGATACTCAGCCAAGGGGACTGGGCACGACAACAAGGATAACGTACGACGATGTTACAACTGTAATAAAACTGGGCACTTTGCTCGAGACGCAAATTGTCCAGCAAAGTCCAAGAGCTGCAATAAATGCGGAATCATAGGTCACTTCTCAGCTTGCTGCAAAAAAGCAGGGGAGAAGCACAACAAGGAGAAAGAAAAAAAGGAGGAGAAAAGAGCATATAAAGTCTCTGAGGAAGAAGGAAAAACACCAACAAGAGATGACTATGCCTTTGTTATTGGTGGGCATGGACAAAAAGATACTCAGGTGCAACATGTAATGTAATTGATTGTGAACTCTGGAACTATCTTAAAAGAAAACATGTTAGGTGCGAGTCAAGGGTATCAGACAAGAAACTGTTTGCGTATGGACAGAAAGAGCCAATCGACGTTGTAGGGACATTTACAGCAGAGATTGTGTGCGAGGCAAACAGTGAAAGATGTGTAGACGATTTCACTGTGATTAAAGAGAACGGAAGGCCTATATTGGGGAAGAAAACAGCCGAACAATTGAAAGTACTCAGGGTTGGACCTGAAGAAATAATAAGAACTGTTAACACGGTCACACAAGAGGGAAGTGATTCAGATATTCGTGAGGAGTTTGCTGATATTTTTACTGGAGTCGGACTACTTAAGGATTACAAGCTGAAACTGCATATCGATGAGGATGTTATACCAGTTGCTCAGCCGGTGCGTAGACTGCCATTCGGTCTAAGGGACAAAGTAGACGATAAGTTAGACGAGTTTACTCGACATGGGTATTATCGAAGAATTGCCAGAAGCAACGCCTACAAGTGGGTTTCACCATTAGTGGTTGTTCCAAAAGCAGATGGAAAGGATATTCGAGTTTGTATCGATATGAGAAGGGCAAACGAGGCGATTGTAAGGGAAAGACATCCTATTCCGACCATAGAAGAAGTTTTGTATGATTTAAATGGAGCAACGGTATTTAGTAAGATAGACCTCAAATGGGGGTTTCATCAAGTGGAACTCACAGAGGATTCAAGGGACATTACGACGTTCGTGACACACCGGGGGTTATATAGATATCGTCGACTGATGTTCGGAATTACTTCAGCTCCAGAGAAGTACCAGAAAATAATCTCAGATGTTTTGGCAGGGTGCAATGGGGTGGCAAATATTGCGGATGATCTTATTGTTTACGGGGCTGATTTATCCGAGCATGATGAGAATCTTTATAAAGTACTAACACGTCTGCGAGAGAAAGGTCTTACCGTAAATGGGGACAAATGTCAGTTTAGACTTCCGGCCTTGACTTTTTTTGGCCACAAGCTCAGTGCCAAAGGGGTGGCACCAAGTGAAGAGAAAGTTGCTGCTGTAGTCGACGCTAGACCAACCACAAAATGTTTCGGAAGTTAGGTCGTTCGTACAGTTAGTACAGTATTCGGCAAAGTTTATCCCGGACTTTGCGCAGATTGCAGAGCCGTTGCGTCGTGTACTAAGAAAGGGACAGTCGTTCGTTTGGGGGTCAGAGCAACAGCAGGCGTTTGAGAAGCTGAAATGGATGATGACTAGGGCTGAAGCCCTGGCTTATTTTAGAAACGACTGCAAAACGAGAATCGTCGCGGATGCAGGGCCGGAGGGAATTGGAGCTGTGTTGCTACAACTGCAAGGAGACCAGTGGAGAGCGGTGTCGTATGCCTCCAGGAACCTCTCGGACGTAGAGCGGCGATACGCCCAAACAGAGAAGGAAGCACTTGCACTCGTGTGGCTTGCGAGCGGTTTAATATATATGTGTATGGTCGTGAATTCGAACTGGAAACTGACCATAAGCCACTAGAGTGTATTTTCAACAAGACATCGAAACCCTCAGCAAGGATCGAAAGATGGGTATTACGGCTTCAGTGCCACAACTTCAAGGTCGTTTACCGGCCTGGAAAGACGAACATTGCCGATGCTTTGTCTAGAATGAACCAGAAGAGTCCAAAAGACCACAGCAGCGAGAAAGAGGACGTCATCCGTTTCGTTGCCATACAAGCGACACCCGTGGCCTTAACGACTAAAGAAATAGAGAGAGCGTCAGAAATCGACGCTGAATTACAAAGTGTGCGATACTATATCGAATCGGGAGATTGGACTAAATGTAAACTGTCGGCATATGCGTGTGTAAAGAATGAGCTCTGCATGATTGGTAGACTTGTTTTACGGGGGAATCGAATCGTTATTCCTCAGATGTTGCGAAGAAAGGTTTTGGAAGCGGCACATGAAGGCCATCAAGGAATTGTAAAGACGAAAAGCAGATTAAGAACGAAAGTATGGTGGCCCAAGATGGACATAGATGCTGAACGAGTGTGTAAATCGTGTCATGGATGTCAAGTAGTCAGCCAGTATAATGTACCGGAACCCATGAAACGGACCGAGATGCCTACAGGCCCATGGCAAGATGTCGCAGTAGACTTGATGGGGCCAATGCCAACCGGAGAATACTTGCTGGTAGTCGTGGATTACTATAGTCGATACTACGAAGTTTCCATTATGCACTCAACAACTTCAGAAAAGATTATCAAAGCGCTAAACGAAATTTTTGCTAGATTTGGTTTTCCTTACTCGTTGAAATCAGACAACGGGAGACAGTTTGTTAGTGAGGAGTTCAAGAGGTTTTTACAACAAGTGAATATTGAACACAGAACGTCACCACCACTTTGGCCACAAGCTAACGGTGAAGTGGAGCGCCAAAATCGCACTCTTCTCAAGGCACTAAAAGTGGCCCAAGTTGAAGGCAAGGATTGGAGAAAGGAGTTACCACAATTCCTTCTTGCGTATAGAACAACACCGCAAGTCACAACTGGAAAAACACCAGCGTTCCTTATGTTCAAACGTGAACTGAGAAGTAAACTTCCAGAACTTAGGGGAGATATAGACGACTTTGATGAGAACATAAGGGATCGCGATTGGCGAAACAAGCTAGTACAAAAAGCTAATGCAGATGAAAAAAGGAGGGCAAATGATAGCACTATTCTACCAGGAGACCAAGTACTACTACGGAACACTAAAACGTCAGGGAAGTTAGCTGCCAACTACGAAAAGGAGCCGTATACGGTGGTCACGAAGGAGGGGAACGAAGTGATGGTAGAGGCGGACGATGGCTCGATCTTTAGGAGAGACAGTTCATTTGTAAAACCATATAATAATCCAGTGGAGACAGCTACGGAAAGCGAGTCCCAACAACAGCCGCAACCGGATAGCGAAACGGTTATCACCAATAGACTTAAGCGGGAGATTAGATTACCCGAGCGATTCAATGATTTTATCATGGACAAACCAAAGTGATACAAATATATTACGAAACAGTATGAACACGATAGTTCGTGTAGTTGAAGTTATGATTGGTTGTTCGAACACTAAATTGACTGGAAAGGAAGGGATGTAGAATCGGGATACTTGATTAGATTTATTTGTATTAGATTAAAGTCACGTGACAACTTATCACGAGGCTGTCGTTTGAAGTGTGTTCTTTCGTTTTGTATCGTTTGTGTATTTTGTATTAAAGCGATTGTAGAAAAACTAAAGATTTGTGTGAGTTATTACATATCAGCGAAGGGGACATTACAAAGCGTATTGCCAGTCGTGTTTATAAATATATTCAGGGTTTCCCCACACGAGAAATTCTCTCCAGTGTCGTGATAAGGACTCTCAACCCACGCAATTCAAGTTCTATTAAGACACAGCAGGAGAAATAAGCGAAGCGGATCCTGCAATGGTTAAACATAGTAATTGCTAACCTCTTGAAATGAAATATTCCTTAACCAAAACAGTGTTGTGATAAGGACTCTCAACCCACGTATTTTAACTTTCTATAAAAACACTGCAGGAGAAATAAGCAAAGCGGATCTTACAATGGATATTCATGTTAGTAAATTCCAACCTCTTGAAAAGAAACATATTGCTTTACCAAAACAAGTGGAGTTTCCGTTGGCGAGGAGGAAAAATACGTTTTAGCAGGACCAAAAAACATTATTTATGTTAAATAATCGAAACGAATTTTTGTGATCGTCAAAATATTATGTCGTTTGATCATTTCGTAAACTGAGAGGGGATCATTTCGTAAACTTATCTCTAATAAGACTCCTCTTCTCTGATACGTAGCGAATCAAACAGGAAGCTGCAACCCCCCCCCCCAAGTTGGGCAGAAATATTATGAAGTCTCGTAATTAATCTTTCTCATTCTGAAGGCTCATTCTCTCGGACCACATAGACTGACTCGCATCTCTCGTCGGGCAGACAAAAGGAAACTACTAGAAAGACCACCAGGAACAACTGGTCAATTATTTGAGACGTATCACAATCCACCCCTCCTTTCCCATTCGTTCTCCCGAGAGAACAGTAGCATTATTTACCTGCAAAATACATTTAAAAACGAGTTTATTCAATTCATTCTCAAGGAGATTTACAGTAAGAAAAACCTATTTACAAAAAGTCACGCGGCAGGTTACCTACGAGTCTGTTTCTGTTACATGCAATATTTCCTGTACTTTGTATAACTTAATGTTTTCCATTCTCGTCAACTTCGATAGCAATAATGCTTCAGTACAAGAAACAATTGTGTTCTGGGCCCAGCAAACCATTTCCTCGAGACCAGAATCTTTGGCGAGTTTCTCAGCTTTCTTTGCGAATTGAAATGCATCGTTGAGGAATCTCGTTTCCTTTTCAGGTTCGAGTTGTGAGTGTCTGATGTAAAGCAACGACTGAACCATTGTGACCATGATCTCTCTGTATATCGTTAGTGGACTTCCCGCACAAACTGATTGATTCACTGCCATTATACTTTCTTGGGCCTTTTTTAAGCTCTCTTTATCGATCTCTTTTTTGATCATCTTTCCTGGCAAAGTATATCCCAGATGATATGCTGCTAACGTGATGTGCGCATTATGATGCAGGTCTGCCCATGTTACTGGAGCGTCTTCATCATACTCCATGTGTTCCAGTGCCTTGCTACAAAGTACGTCTGGCGATAATCCTGCCTCGCTTTGGTTATCATAAACTGATGTGGCAGAAAAATAAATACGAGTAGTAGTAAAAAGTCCAGGTTCTATGCAATCCGCTTTGGTTAAAGCATCAGTTGCTATATCTCGAGATTCAGCAACTTTGCCAGAAACACGCGCTACTGCTGCTTTCAAAAACAGAGAAAGCACTTCAAAAACCAAGGGTTGTTCTGCTCGGGTAAAACGTGCATCGAAATTATTAAGCAAGACAGACGCTTTGTGAATTTTGGTTTGTCGATAATTTGCCATTATTTCCCATGATAGCACTATTAAATGTACGTCAAGTTTGTCAGAATATTTCTGTAGAAGTCGACCAGCGCATCTCGTGAAGGATTTCCATTTTCCGTTACAAATGAGCTCCGTTAAACATTCATTAGCCTTGATGCAACGCCTTTTCGCCGCAGGACTTAATGAAACACGCTTCATTGTGGAAGGAACTTCTTGTTTTCTCTTGTTCAGACCAACAGGTTGTAGTTTCCCCTTCCAAGTTGTGAACGACATCCTTTCAACTTTTCCCTCCACCATTTCATAGCTTTCTGGTTGCTCTGTGAACACTCCACCACAACAAGGAGCGATAAAGATCACGATCACAAACGTTGATGGGATAAGGTTGGATTTCTTGTCCAGCACTGGTTGAAAGAAAATTTCCCAGTGTTCTCCTCGTTTTGGTTGACCAATCACGTCAGGCCAGATCATTTTCTGGATGGCTTTTTCTACTTTCTTCTCGATTTCGGAAAGGTTTTCTGTGTTCTCTCCCTGAACAACGCCATCATCATCAATACCATAGTAAATATGACCACCCCTGTGGTTAGCGAACGCTGATACGTAACAACTGAATTTGTTACTTTTACCAATCATACGATCTGCGAGTGTGACGCGCTTTGATGAATCTGATTTTAGGAGCTTGAATTGAATCACCTCATTTTCTCTGAAGGAGCAGTTTCGATTTTTGTGAAATGTTTTCTGGTGTGAGCCAAGTTGGACGGGTTGATCAACAAATCTTCTGTTCATAATGTTTAACGCGTCCAGGACATTGTCAATGATCTCAACTTGTGTTTTAGTCGTAAAGTAAAGATTGTATTTAAAAGTTACAAGGAAGTCAGCTTTAGTGACACTTATTGCTATTATTTTCTCATGTTTGTCCTCGAAATTTATAAAAGACTTGTTTATCTTAGCTCCAAATCGGGACACTAATGACTGTTCAAACATTCGAGTCAAGGAGTCGAGTATCGTGGTGGATAGCAAGTTACCTTCTGTTTCTTCACCACGTATTTCCACTTTTCCGCCATTGCTATTCAACAAGGCACAGATTGCATTAACAATTTCGTTTTTCTTCTGGGCACTGTATTTTTTATCCTTCGATATTTTTTCTACCAGGAATTGGATGTAAATGACATTATTGACATGAATCGGGGGCATTGCTTAAAGATATCTAAATAACAAAACAATCAGCATTAATGATATAGAATTTCATCTTTGAATGAGCAACGATATTCGGGGAATTTTTACACGTAATTCAAGGAATTCTCTTTTTCACATATTTTTCACCGCGTCGTAGTTTTGGTGCGTCTTAAACTCGCTAATGCCAGAGTAAACATGCACAACGCATTAATAGTTACAATAATACACTTCATTAGGTGTGCTAGGTAGAAATACGTGCGATATTGCATGTAACCGGAAACATGGCAGGAAACGTATAGCTGTATAGACATTCACATGTATATTTTAAACACGGGTGGCAAACACGTTTCCTGACACGAATTATCTAAGTTTAGTAGTAGAGGCATGCACGATTAACACAATTTAGTTTACATAACGCTACGTCGTAACTGAAGAAGACTTGACACAACGTGGAAAGGTTACCTATTGTATTCAAGATATGCTAAATATAATATGACATATAACTCGACCGATGTTTTACTTTGCCAGAATTCACTGAGGCTGCGTTCACAAGATACTGGTTCGCTCGTCACGATATCCTTATTAGCCGTACGAAGCAACGGATTATTAGCAAACACTTACCAATTTGATAGATTTAGTGTATTTATTTATTCAAATCACAGACATTAAAAACTTTACTTAACTTAATTAATCTCAAAATTTGACCTGTTCCGACGGCAATCCGGTATACCCTGTGAACGGCGCCTGAATTTGTAGTGCAAAATGGCGGTTACATATCCGCCCGCGTACTTACCACACGATTATACGCTTTGTTGAGAGAATATTTCACATCTAAACCCCTCAGCACAAATCAGTTTATCATTTGCGTTACACAACAAATATAATCAGGCAATGCATAATCATATACATAAACAAAAAAGGGGGTTTTCCCTATACGAGTTTCTCCCCAGGGGTCGGAGGAAGGACTCTCAAAAGATGGCATATTGTACGTCAGGTGAATATTCGTATTTCAAGCAACGCGGTGGCGATAGCTGCATTTGCGAACACGACCGTTGCATATTTTGAATTTAGCAGCATAAAGGTCTTATAGAAGTATAGAAGGAGAAAAATGTATTCAACTTGATCTTCAAGTACATTATTACTGTTTATTATCGGTATATAAATAAAGGAACGATTAGAATGTCCGCTGGGAGAGATTCGAGACATGTTAAACCCACGCCACCCCCTCATTCGTGCCTCTGCCTAATAATTTACTCTCGACCACTATAAAAATCGTCTTAGGATGGACTTGTACGTCCCGTGAAGTGTTTTACAATACATTCGACCATAGCGATGTAATCAGTTGTCAATCTTCATCAAAATGGTCTATACAGTAGTCCCTCGCTAACTCGAACTCCCAAGGGGAAAGAAAAATTGTTCGAGTTACCGGGGGTTCGAGTTAACCGCAGTTGGTGTCAGATTACGTTTATTATATAAGTAATACAATAAGATATAAAATCCAATCGAATCAGTCATCAAGGGATACCAGGTCTCCCAATATGAATGGTCAGCGAAAGTGGACGACGTCTTAAAATTAAAAAGATCGAAAGAATACAAAAGGAACTAAAGAATTTAGATCAATAACAACGGTAGCACCACGCAAAATCTTATAAAATTTATAAGCATTTATATACAATTATACACTGATTAAGTTGTTGTTATTTTGATAGTTTCCAGTTGTCAAAATTTTTTCTTCTCACATTTTAACGTTCGCTGATCTACGATTCAAAACCAAAGTTCCAGTTAACGGGATATATTTGACCAAGGGGAAACAAAATTTGTTCGAATTAGAGAGGATTTCGAGTTAAGCGAGTTCGAGTTAAGCGGAGTAAATTACTATAAAAAAAC